ATATTTAAGCAAAGAATTGAAGAAAGTGATATGTGGGATGTGTGGATATCTGAGGGAAGAGTTTTCCAATCAGAAGGAACAGCCATAATAAAGGCTCTGAGGTAAACATGTCTGAAATGTTTGTGGAATAGCAAGGAACCAGTTACTGGAGCAGAATGAGTGAAGTCTAGAATAAAGGGGAATAAGATGACAAAGCAAAGAGGTGGTACACAGTGGTGGGTTTTTTAAGTCATTATAAGGAATTTGTCTTTACATTGAGAAGAATATGAATCCATTGGAGTTTTGGTTTGTGTTGAATGTTCTATTGAGACTATAGTTAGGCATGCAAGGGTAGAAGGAAGGAGACCATTTAAGAGGCTATTGCAACTATCCAAGCAAGAGATGAAGTTGCTTCATATCAGATCAGTTGTAGTGAAGGCAGTGAGAAGTGGTCAGATTACATATGCATACATTCACACACACACACACGCACGCACGCACGCATGCACACTCACAATCTTATAGTTTCTTTCTAATTAGTTTCATTAAAGCATAACTTAAATCTAATAAGATTGCCTGATTTTAATTCTATGATTCAATTATGGGTCAATTGTATCTTATATGGATGCTATAATGTCTCCTGCTAAAATGAATTGGTATAGCTGGTTTTCCCCAAGAGTATATTATCTTAAGTTCTAAGAGTACTACACAATGACTTTGGCAATGAAAAAGGGAAAAGATTTGATAACTATTAACGAACTGGTTATTTCAGTCAAAAATAGATGAAGTCTTGAAAAGGAAGTGTGAAGCATGGGCTTGCTTTGTATAGCATAAGACCTCACCAATACAGAGAGAATAACTGGATGCTGTCTCCAGATGCAAGCCAATGGTGTTAGTGAGCAAAGATTTCTTACCTTTGGATGTAGATGAGAAAAAATGTGGTATACGTGCTCACACTGTCTGCATACTTCACCAACTAGGGCCAGACTTATCCTACACGGGACTAATGACTAACAATGACTACATTATTATGGAAGAACACTTCTATGTATTTGGGTTGCCAGCCAAAAATCACCCAGAGCAGTGGCTACTATTGAGGGTATTCTGGTTGGCCAGGATATATTTAAAGGGCTAATAATAATACTAGTTACAATTTAGTGGGTACCTACTATGTGACCAAATAAAATTTTTGATATGTTAACTTTTTTATTCTTCACAAGCCCATGATGTATTTTTATCTTCTTTTTATAATTGAAGCAAATTCAATTATAAAAGAGAGAAGTGAAATGCAGTTCTAGTTCTGAAATCTAAACTCTTAATTCCCTATCAGGCTGAGGGGGTTCCATTATTTAATATATTCAAGTGAATTGACAGCACACCATAGAGTCTAGTTGGGGCAAGAGCAAAAGAAGTGGTGGGAGCCAGGATGGAGCATTTTTAGTACAGTAAAGTTACTATCTACTAAGAATAATGATTTTACACTCATTTTATTTTTAGTGGGAAACCCTACTTTGAAGAGACTTCTTCTATGGGGGGGAGAGGGAGTGGGTGGTATGGAAATTTAGGAAGCTGATATAATATGTAGGTAGACTAATGTAGAAACTACTAGAAATATACAGGTTGCCTTGCAAAGCATTTTGCAGCAACCTTGAATGGAAGAAGCACCAGTGCAATGTTAGATTATGTGATAGGAGCTGCATAAGGGGTGCTGAGTTATATTGAGGCATTGGGGGTTCCCCGATAAACCCCAAATGGTTGCTCTATCTATGGACAGGGCAAAAAGTGGGGCAAACCTATCACAAAGGGCCACAGTGAATGCTCCAGCCAATGGATAATTAAGGGAAAGTCACTGGGCCACCACCTATATGTTGGCTGGCAAAACAAGTGCCCCTCCAGGTAAGGTTCATTCCTTTACTTCTTATACACGTAGAGGCTAAGGAGCCAAACTTGTACTTGGCCTGGCGCCTGCAGCTGCAGGTGCCACCTCAGCTGTAGCCAAGCACCATGACAATGATGAGGAGCACCATGTTTGGAAATTATTCATTATTGATGATAATAAATGGAATCCAAAAATGTTATACAAAGGAGTTAGAAGGTTCTAAGTTACAAACTAGGCAATAGTGTCTTTTCCACAGTCAAGTCTTATGATAGAAATATCCTGAAAGCAGATTATGACATATGCACTTTTGCTTCAGGGGAAAAACAGCTTACCAAACATAACACTTTCAAAATCAGAAAAAAAATCACTGTTGAAGGTGGAAATGGACCAATAAAACTGGAGATTAGGTTCTTTCTGGAGAGGAATAATTGGTAATCCTGCTCCCTACTTGAATGCTATAGGAGTAACTGTATCATACTTAAGTGATTAATTTTGAAAATTATGTCACACATCTATTTAAATATGAAGGGGATTTTAGTTACTATTTGCTAATGTCTGTTCAAAAGAATTTAGAAGGAAAATGTGGAAAACATGGTGGGTCTATTCATTTGTGTTTCCTGCAGGGTTTCAAGAGCCTTATTCTGTAACATTGTTGGAACATACTATTTCCTTCCTTTCCTTTACTATTTTAAAGCATGGCAATTCAGTTTTACCTTTTGTAAAATTAAAAGTTATTTCTCATTATTAATTTTATTCTCATATGACACCATAGTCTGAGGAGCCAGTCAATCCATGTCCACAGGGAAGAACTTACATGCAATTATATTTGAGTTCTCTCCTTCCCCAGTGAGGCCTCAGAAGTGTGTAAAGAGAACGTAGGAAGTCCTAGTGACAGGACTAGTGACAGGTGGAATTAAGTTAGGGAATAACTTTTTGATACCAAGGTAATGGTAGTTGCTGGTGGAAGTAGGTTGGGGTATGATATTCAGCCTGCATCCTATGTCTTTGCCACAACCTCTGAAATGTCACAAGGAAGGTATCTTTCAGTCTGTTGCTCTTCTTATTGAACATTTTATTGAGGTAATTGTAGGTCCACATGCAGTTGTCAGAACTAATATAGAGAGATCCTTTGTACTCTTTACTCATTTCCCCCCAATGGTAGCATAGTCTGTTGCTTCTTATTTTGTGAGAATGTATATCCCTAGAAACAGGACCAGGGTACTCTAGTTAAAATGTTAAAGTACATGTAAAATGGAACCAAATTGCCAATTTCCTCTTGCCTCCAAGAAGGGTTGCTTGGGTGAACATGGAAAATTTTAAAGGAATGGCTATAGCACAAGCTGAAGATTAATCTCCATAGGAGGTCATGGCCTTGAAGGGGCTGGGATATGTACAGGTTGACCTGACAAGCCCAAGGAAGGGAGAGAGAGAAATGAAGACCAAGCTTGATCCCTGATTCAGTGATGTGTCAGAAATGGAAAAAGCAACACCAAAATGGGCCCAAAGATTTAGCAGAATGGGTTGATTCCATGGGAAAGGTTTCTGCTGTCAGGTACAGAAAAGAAAACCAGTAAAAAGTAATTGGCTATGAAACTGCAAGTGGATGAGTCACCCCAGTGCCCTACCCAAAGGCTACTAGAAACAGGGAGTGGTATAAATGCTGAAGACATAGATAAGGAGAGCGACAAGCACAGTACCAACAGGACAGTGGTTTTGTTATAGGATTAATGGAAGGCAATGGTAGCAGAGGTACTTCACACCAGTATGTGAAAAAGCCACCAGAAGCCCCAAGTGTCTGGGGGCCAGGGCCCCATGGGATGTGGAGAACAACCATAATTTGTGGGGCACTTCAAGGATTGTCCCCTTCCCACTTCAGCAGGTGAAAGACTTAGATGAGGTTAGAGTTCCAGAAATTGAGTTAGTAGGGCTGAACTGTGGAGTAATACATTTATCATTTTCTGGGACTCTGTTTCTTCAAGTTGTTGTGGCAAAGGAAAATGCCTTTTAAATTTTATTTTTTGATAAAATATATTAGTATTTTGCTAACACATAAAAAGTATTCTTACTTCACTTAATAGATAAAAAAAAATAGTTGGAGGAAACCTTCTAATCAAGGATGGAAGGATATCACTTTGATAGTAAGAGTGGCAACTAAGTAATTTATGCACATGGGCCCTAAAGAACCTGCCTAAAGACTAAGTGCTGGATTCTCATTCCCTTACCTCTTCATATTTACAGAAAATGCCTCTTTTGTGTGGAGAGATTCAGTGAGAGAAATAAGCTTGCATGTAAACAGTGAATTAGGAACCAAGCAGATAGCAGTTGGTAAGATATTTAATCCATTCATAGGGATTATAGTACTACTGTGTATCCACTTACAAAAAGATATCAAATTATATACACTGCTCCAGAGGAGCACTATACCCACTCTACAGGTAATATTGGTGGAATCAAGCTCCAGTTTACTAAGTCTCTCTTGTTTTTGTCTGGAGTATTGAGAACTCAGAGTTTCTGACAAAACTGACTCCAATAGGTGCATCTAACAGCTCTGAATAAGCTTTACTGTCATTTAGTCACATTTGAACATGGTTTTTAAAAGAAAAGTAATCTTTATAAGAAATGTCCACAGTGCCTTATATATAGCAGGATCTCTCTCTCTCTATATATTTTTTAATGAATGAATGAATGAATGAATGAATGAACGTTCTCAGTAATGTGAGTTTGGAATCTTCCCACTGACTTGTGGAGCTTGATACTAGATATAAGATAAAAACTAAACATTATGCAGATGGCTTTACATGTTCAGAGTTTTTCAAGCAGAAAAATGAATGAAAATATATATTTATTACATATAATTTCCTTTGGCAGTTTTCCTTCACCTATCTCTTGGATCTGCCAGACTTTTGCCCTGCATTGAGTATACACATTCGCCTGAGTTATTCTATGTGAGAACCAGATGGAGATTCTGTGTCTGAGTTATTTAGTGGCAGACTCTACAGGACATTTCCTATATTGCTCACAAGGTTGAGCATTTCCCTGCTTTGATACTTGTGAGTGCTGCACTTCAACCTGTGAAGTAGGTAAAATGGCTAATGCCAAAAAGGTGGGAGGAAAAGTGACAGAAGAGAGGCATACCAGCTTGTTGATGTTTGTCATTTTTATTTTCAATACTTTAGGTCCAAGTTTCAAACTGCAATATTTTTACACTCAAGACACAGTCATGCACAATCCATATTTCAATTTTCTATTGCTTCAACCACAATTTAAAATAACAATATTAAAAACAAGTTCTTAAAAATATCAAATGCTGAGGTCAGAAGGATGGAAACATTACATCAGCAGATCTACAAAAGAAATAACTTACTTAAAAATCAAACAAACAAAAAGACCATAAATACTTTTAATCCAAAGTTACAGAAGAATTTCACTACACATGGGTTTACAGATAACATTTTAACAAAAGTAATGCCCAGCCAAATGAGATACAATTCTGATAAACAATGAATATGTAGAAAATGTAGATCCTCCTCAACTTGCTTTCTCTGGATATTATGAGAATATTCCCAGTAGACATCAGTACTCTGTGATCTGGCTCCTCCTTGCTGATGTACTGAGATTTAAAACTCAACCCACTAATGGTTATGGGATTCTGTGAACGATCTTATCACTAATGAATATAGTATATGTGTTCCATAAAGCACACCACACACAAGCACACACATTGAAATTGAATTTTCCACTCAGAGCTGGTTGGCACTCTACTGTAGGCAGGGGATTGGGACCATCCACTAACTTCCAGTTTACCCTCTTTCCAGCAGGATGCTCATATAACTGGACAATCATTGTGGGAGTTGTAATCAGAAATGCTATCTTTGGTTCACAACAAGTGGATTTATCAACATTCCTTAATGTTAATAGCATGTAATTACTTTTTTATTTCTTTCTTTGCAACCTGCAAGTGTGTAGTTTCACTCTTAGTAGTACTCCCAACCATAAAATTACATGGGTTTTGCCATCTTGTGCCATTTATGAAGTAAATTCTATGAAGTCCAGCACTGCTTCATAGGAAAGAAGAGGCTCAAGTATAGATCTATTCTAGCAAGTGTGACAGTGTATTTTTGTTCTAGTAGCAAATACTGGCCACGGCTTAATGAAAACCAGACTTTACATACAGAGTGTATGTAAAACGAAAACTGGGAACACTCAACAGGAAAAAGGACATTAAAACTAAAACAGAACAAAACAACTGTGAAGGAACTGGAAGGCCGCCACAAGTTTTATCAACATTGTCTAGTAATATTAACTTCACTTACTTGAGTTTTTTTCATCATCTTTCACAGTGCTATTATTTAACTGCCACATAAGAGACCCAGGCTTAAGTAAGTAATATTTGCCATCACTTTAAGCAGGTTGAATTTGCAAGGCAATCTATAATATCACAGAATGTTAGAAATTTTTGAAAGACCTTGGAGATCATCTAGTTCAATACTCTTATTTTACAGATAAAGAAATAGCCACAAAAATGTTAAGTGACTTCTCCAAGGTCACACATTAAATTAGTAATGCAACCTATATTAGAATCCAGGTCTCCTTACTTCTAGACTAACATTCCTTCCATCACATCTGACATTCTCTATAATTGCTGCTGATTTCTTCTTAGGTACTAAATCAGGTCAACATCATATCTGCCTTACTGTTGGTATTGTGGGATAGCAGTCACCTGATGGCAGCTTCCAAAAGAGACTCTGATGGCACTAACCAGCTTCTTATAAGTTTATGTTGTAAGCTTGACTATATTTCATGGAAGTAAATATTACTTGTATTCTAGTATACTTGTCCACATAAGTGTGCACGTGGAGGTTCCCGCATTTGCAGATGCAGTTAGATATTGTTTAATATTAAACAGACATTCCCAATGCATTAGGAGTTGAGTTATATTCATTTAGTTACTAAAGAAATGTGAGATCAGAAAAGGAGAGAAAAATTAAAGCTAACAAACTAAACAATTATATCATAAACAAATCTCTTAGGAAAAAATTCTCTCTTAAGAAAAATACTTCCATGGCCTCATTTATTTCCTTCCTAATCCACATGCAAATATATGTTCATAACTGTGTGTTATGTTCACTCAAAATCCAAAGCCTATTAGACTGTCAATTTAAAAATGCTGAAATGCAGTCCTCTTGCTCAGAGACTAGGAGAAGCTTGCATCACTGGCCATGCCTTTATTTAACTGAATAGTAACTAGAAGTAGCTCAGAAAATGACCATGAGATTCAACTGAGGATGGCAGGGTTTAGACTTCCGTAAGTATTTTTATGTTGAGAATAGTCAATGAAAAGCCTGTGGATTCTCTAGGTACAGGGTCTGCACTTGGTGAAAGTGAGTAGCACCTGAGGCCACTACCTCATTATAAAAGCCATCACCTAAAATTTCTTTGGTGAGTTACAAGGAAATTCCCCTCTTTTGGTAGATAGTCTCCCTTTTCTCTTTAACAATGTCAACTATTGCATATAACCTATAATCAGGCAGTACAGAAAGTATATGGAGGCCATCTCAAGCTAAAGCTAACAGAACTGTGACTGAATGGCAACAGACAAAGGCAGTTCTAAACATTTGTCTTAATGCTTTCATAGTCAGCTTTTAATTGCAAGTTATAATAACTTCCATAGAAATCAAGGAGAATTGCCTACTGGTCATTAAAAGAAGAATCTTACCTGAATGATATAATATCCTGTCAGACAAGGAAATGATGGGACTTGGAAATTTTATCCTTCTATTCTTCCAAAATTCAACCTGAAACTCTTCTAAAGTGATCCAGAAGTGTGATACCTAAAACGCATATTATCAAGGGGGACTAATCAAATGTCACCTGTCCAATTAAAGCAACCAAAACAGAAAACTTGATGTCATTCCAAAGTGGAGGACAGTCTGTTTTAAAGCAAAAAGATGTGCTTGTAATTCTAATAGTAAATTATCCCTAGCTTTAACTTATAGATAATAGTCCCCTAAGAAAGCATGTGCCATACACGACCATGTGCCAACCTCAGCACCCAAGGAACTATAAAGCCTATGGAATAATTGTAACTAGCAGATATTTGTGCCCTGCATGCTCTGGGCTCTGGCTAGAAGGCATCTCTTTCTGGCATATTTTATATTTTTCTATTGTCCCCTTTTTGATGTTTATTATAAAGCAATATTATAACAATACCAAAGAAAATTTTTAAAGAAAAAATAATTCTGCATAATCCCACCACCCTAATTATCTGTGTTCCCAGTCTTTGTCCATATGCACACTTATTTTTACATAGTTGTAATTCCTGTTTATGTTATTTGAAAGTGATTTACAGATTCTCTCTGAGAACTGGCAGCCTTATTAGAAATAAAGAACCCATTGAGCAATGGAATATAATTATTTACATGGTTTTTGAGCTGAGAAATATTCTTTATAGACAAACTTCTCAAACTATCAAAACATTTATACAGACAACAGGAAGCAATTTCATATTTCTTTTTCTTTTAGCAATGGAATGTGCTTCACAGGGGTAGGATAGATGTGGGGATCATGTGGTTAAACTCCAATGATGGGTGCAATTCACAAGCTTCAAAGAAATATGAATAACACAGTTAAAGAATAAATACTTGAGTTAAATCTTCTTATATGACTTGGCCATCCAGTAGCCAAAAAGCAACATGGACACACAAATATTTACAATGATACATAGACGAGATCATCAAGAACGAAGTCATTACCCAACATGGTGACTGATTTGAGGAGATTGTGTCATCCAAAAATCCTCATGGGATTATGACAACGCACCGGATCCTTGTTACAACATTAATGCTTCTTTCTTTCTTAAATAAATAATCTCTACTGTGCTTCTCACCCTTCCCTGACTTTCCCACTGCCCTATCCCAATCTCAGGACATTTTGGAATCAACATTTGACGATGTGCCCTCATTATTTCAGGGTACACTAGCAACTTTAAAGATCTGGATAGACACACCTGTGTCAAGATGAGCTTTTAAAAAATCCAGGGAAAGGGAATAAACTATTAACCATCTGGAATTCAAATTGTTCAAGTGTACCAAATGTGAATTCTTCAGCATCATTTTGGAAGGAGAAACAGTTTCTCTCTAATACGTATTGGAAAATACATAACTCTCCACAGAGGGAAGGGACTTCAGAAACTTTTTATTTTAAAACTGACATAGATACAAATTTGTAAGAGTAAAGTCTACTGGGATATATTATAAAATCTTGGTACAGTGAGATGTGATAAAGAAGGACCTGGCTCCTCATAGTTAATATGCTGAATTGAAGGCATAAAAGAGCAGCCATTTCTCTGCTCTGAAGTAGTGATCTGAAGGATCACTACTCCAGGTCTCCCCTCACCAAAAAAAGGCCTTTATGACATAAAAGGGATGCTATTTAACAACTAGGACTGCCCAACCAGGTTTGGGGCTCTCTCCATTGGCAGAGCATAGTTATCAACGTACTGAATTCTATTTGCATCCAAGGTATTATTTCATTGAATTCCCTGGCACTATGAATGGAAAAAAAAAAATACTTAATTTTAAGCAAAATAAAAAAATGAACCCCCCTTTCTCTCATTAAGACTGTGTGGCATTAAAATATTCAGGCCCAGCCACATTTTTGCAAAGTATAGTGTGGTACGCTTCAAATCAATATTTCCATTTGATTTTCTTTTCACATTTGTTGTTTTATCCCACTGTGGACATTTCTGGGGTGGGAGGTTTAAGCCCCTCTCAAATTTTATAGTCAAAGAAAACAATAGGAAAATAGGAAATGCACCAATGATGTCATCTCCTAAACATAAACATGTACTATATGGTTAGCAGAAACTCTCTAATGAAAGTGCTTTCATTTTAAGGAATAAATAGATGTTAGATGGATGGATGCACCTCGGCAGAGAAGGAGAGAGGTCCAAGGCATTGATCTCTTTCCTCCTCTTGCTTAATGTGGATATTCTTGATATGCTACTAATCAAGAAGCCTTCTAAAACACAAATTGTTAGCTTTTCAAAGGCTTAGAGAAACAACTTTGCAGAATTTATAAAATTTGACAATTCATTCAAAAGAGAAGCATATCCTTTTCTATGCAGACATCCTCCAGATATTTTTCTACTCTCAGAAGATTCAGGAAGTGCTGTTAATTTTTTAATAAATAGATACATGGTGAAATAATAGTCAAATTTTCATATTTTCTCCAAGCCACAAAAGGAATTCAGTTGGACTTATATTTCTTGGGATATATGATTGTGCACTCTAATTATTTTCACTGGAGAACTTTTAGATCTTTATGAACATATTTCTGAAATTCAAAAGCCCAAAAGACTAAGTAGGAATACACATATCCTGGAACAGAAACTGGTGGTATATAAAGAAAATGGGAACAAGTACTTATAGTCAAATGTTGATTGGGATATAGTTTTCACTGACCTCTCATTTCTTATAGAGTTGAATGCTCACAAAAATATATTTGTTCTCCAGATCATTTTTTAAATTTTAAGATGTTATAACTTGTCAAAATAAATAATTTTTTATCATAAGCAAATGTTGGCTAATGGGTTTGTTTTCCCCTGATGTATCTATTTTAGAGTGCATATGTTTCACAAGCACAAGAAAGGATTAAATTAGGTAATTTTTTATCTTTGTTTAACTTACTGTCCAAAAAGGATTTCAGTACTTCGCACTTACCTTATTTTCCTTTTGGTTTAAGTATGGTTTCTCCTATGAGGACCTGGACTCACTCATCAGGAGTGCCACAGTTTTGATATGTCTTTTTCCAGGTATCATGAAATTGAACAAGGTGATTTATATAAATGATAAATCAACTACCTCTTAAGCATCATCATGAAAATGTGACAGGATTTCACCATTAGAGCTTTATTTAGATATAGAGTTTTTAAAGCCTTTCCTGAACACAGATTCCTCCTTGCTTTTGGAAAGTATCTTAAGAAACGTTTTCCAATGCAAGTGCAGAAAAACAGGTACACAAACCAAGCCACCACTATAGAAGAAGAATAAAAAATTGCAACTCTATTTGGGCATGGACTTCCACATGTTCACACTGTACTTGCTCTTTTTTTTGTTTGTTTGTTTTTTTGTTTTGTTTTTGTTTTTTTGCTTTCTTTTTAAAAAAACATTTTGACATCTTTTTTCTGGACATCTAATGACAATGCAAGTGAAAAACATTACATTGGGTAAGGAGTTTTGAAGGAGGTTCGAATGCAAGAGGGACTACTCTCTAACTTAAAAACAAACACAACACTATGAAGAGGGAATGTGCACCTTTGAGAAACCTTTTTCTTCAAAGTGAATGCACAAAATGAGGGGATTCACTACTGGCTCTTTCGCTTCACGGTGGAAGTGACCACTTTATGGCCACTTCGACATTGCTGCCCTATTCGGACTGCAATTCAGGCTTACAAATAAATTACATAATCTGAAGGAGTAGGAAAAAGGCTTATAAGAAGTTTCTATTCATTGTAAAGTTAAAGAACCCCCACTCCATTTGACTGTCTTTCTTCCATCTTTCCTGCAGAAGTTTTATTTCAGTCTTACTCATGAGGGAGATGGTGTGGGGTAAGGCTTGCAGTCCTAGCGGCTGCTGTTCTTAATTGCTTCCTTTGCAGCGATAATCAGAGGAGTCAGGCTGGAGAGAGGCTTGGCTAATTTTAAAAATGGATGCTGCAAAAGAAAAAAAAAGAATTACTGGAATTCTTTTTTCCAACAAGTATATTACTTTACATTTTCAAGCAGCCATTTTCTCATTAAAATATATTTTGAGTACCCAATTAAAGATTATTTTATTAAAATAGTGCCAGCTTTTATCCTTCAGATGTTTTTGTCCTTCAGTGTTATGAAATCCTCTGGAAGCTACTGGCAGAGCTAGAAACTCAGAGTTGGGGTCTTGTAAAATGTCAATCTGTGTATGTAACAGTCTGACTTTCTGAATTTCTTAAACTGATTTTATCAGGAGCAGTTTGCAAAAAAGTCTTTGACCTTGACCCTGAAACCAATGGCTTTTTAACTGCTAACCCAATAACTGTGCCTCCATCATTCCTCTTTTAGCCCCTTTGCAGTACTTAATACAAGTTAATATCTCTTCCTTCTTTGAAATGGTTTCCTCTTTGGGGCCTGTGACATTCTACTACCTTGGTTCTCTTCCACAAGCACGCTCACTGACTACTCCCACCCCATCTTTTTCCCTGGTTTCACCTCCCCTGCCC